ATGAAGATGAAGATGAAGATGAAGATGAAGATGAAGATGAAGATGAAAATGAAGATCAAGATGAAGATGAAGATGAAGATGAAGACGGAGATCAAGATGAAGATGAAGATAATTTTTCCTGTAACTTCCTGCAAGTTCGTGTAAAACCTGTAAGTTCATGGAGTACTGTATCAGAGCTATTATGTTACGCTAAGTACTAAGTTAAACTCCCCTCCACTTAACCCATTCCAGCTAATATTATTTCACCTCAACTCATCTCACATAAACTATGCTGAGCGAACACTTGTTTTTAAATCATACTTTCAGTGTAGGTCCTTATGGTTTTTGAAACCTATATTTAACGCAATGAGGGCATGCTTATAGTCAAAATTAGTTGGTACTTAAAGTTAGTTGTACCTTCTTGACATAATTTTGGATGGGTTACCTGTCAATAAAGTTACAACCAACTTTAAGTACCAACTTAATTTTCACTATGAATACGTATTAGAGGGCTGCATGAATTTATTCAAAACGGCTTATGAATTGTTGATATACAAAACCAATGAATGATTTTGGCTTAAAATTTTTTGAATTTGAGTGAACACCTGTTCTGATAAATGTGTCGACATTACAATATTCAAAGTGAAAATCAATTGAATTCAAAATAAATGAAAATGTTTTTTATGAATATCCAAAAATATTTTTTCTGTGCCATTTGTACAAACATGTGTATATATCGTCACTTGAAATGCAAAAAGACGTAACAACATCGTAAATGAAATGGAAAAAGTCGTGACTAATATTTTAATTTTATTATTCATAAAATGATGTGGGGAGCTGTTATTCGATGAAATCCATCATATAAATAAAAAAGTGAATTTTGAATTTTTTACTAGTTATGACTTTTTGCATTTCAAAGATGATGGTTGTTACGTCTTTTTGCATTTTAGGTGACGAAATGTATGTATTTATATATTGCTGCGCTCTTATTACAATACGAACAAACTTAATTGTAGAAAAAACTTTAACCGAAAAGAGTTTGTATGATTTGAATGTTTTCCATTCATTCATTCACATTCTTCCATTTGCAAGTAGAAAATTTAAAAGAAAATGTACATATATTCATAACTTACAAAATTCCAAACGCTGAGTGTTTTATATGTGAATTAAAATATTCAAATCTACTGTGCACTGTGTGGGAACCTCTGATATAGACATAGTGCAGCGAAATAAAATTCAGTGGCTCCGCTTGCTTGGTCATGTCGTTCGAATGGACAGAAACGCTCCTGCTCTGAAAGTATTCAACGCGGGCCGCGAAGCTGATAACATAGGAAGAGGAAGGCCTCCTCTGCATTGGAAAGACCAGGTGGAGAAGGACTTGGCTTCACTTGACATTTACAAACTCGCTTAGGCAGTTACAACGCCAATAAAAAAGAAGGCAACCTGCGTTCGTTACTTCTGTTTAAAAGCTTTAGTCGGATAACAGAAAAAAGGCCGGATAAGCCGGATTCCGGATATCTACCGGGTAGCCAGCACATCCCTAATTGCCATATACCTATGCTTTCAGATGCAAGAAGAAAAACTATCCGAAAGTTGTATTCTAGCAAGTTTCAGCGGTATTTGAAAAACAACTGTGAACCAAAACGGATTGTGACAGTACGCGTTTTGGGCCATATGATAATCTTGGGCCCCTTAAGAAGCCCGGGTCCGGGGGGATTCACCCCTTGCAAATCCTATTTCTGGCAGCAAGTGTCAGTTACGCGGCTTGGCAGAATAACGATACACGGTTTTATACTGTAAACGCCGATATGTAACTCTTCAGGTAATTAATTGAAGCTTATTTTTGAAATTCACATACACACACTGACCGCCTGTTTGAAGTTAGGAGCAATTTTTACCTGTGCTCTCCAACATAATACATAAGAGTAAACAATAGATGAATATGTACACATGTATGTTTTTTTATGATACTAACGATCGCCATTAACCCTCGCTACACGTACATATGTATTGTATGTATTTATGTGCATATCGCATCAAAGCATATACATTAGGGTGGGTTGATTTGTATGGATGAAAAAAAATTAAAAATCGTATAGCAAAAACATAATTTACATTAAATTCTCTGAAGAAACCATGGGTCTAAAATCAAACCCTAATCCGCGCCTCTCGACTTGAACATTTTTTTGCCTCTTCTTTCGCTAAAATTATTTTCTTTTTTTGAAATATATTATGTTTTATTATATTAATTATAGTTTATGCAATACAGGTTTTGTTTTGAGACTAATCAAAATATTCAATTATCAAAAAAGCAGTTGAACCCCAATTTGCATCTCCTCTGATTTGCGTACTTGGATGAATATTTTTTTAATGAAAAAAAATTTTGAGTGTTAAAAAAATATAAAGTGCAAAAGAACTACCTTACTAAACAATTTTATTCAGAAAATTCGATTTCTTTTTGGAAAATTTTTTTTTTCTAACATTTATTTTTTTGGCAAAGGCGGCCATATAAATTTTCAAGTCGAGAGGCGCGGATTAGGATTTTATTTTAGATACATGGTTTCTTCTCAGAATTTTCTTAGAATTTTATGTAGTTTACGTTTTTGCTATACGATTTAAAAAAAATAATCAACCCGCCCTAATATACATACAATAAATTAATTAGTGAGTCTCAAAAAACTCAGCAAAGCCGCAACTGAGAGCCAACCAAGCCAACCGACCGAGTCAAGTTAAATCACCAAGCCAAGTCACCGGTTAGCTAGCCGCGTAGCACTCAAACAAACAAAATAACTGCAGTTCGAGCCCTTGTCGACTTAAGCCGACTCTTGACTATGAGCAACTGTTGGCAGTTCAATTTTAGGCGTTGCCCGATTCGAACGTACAGATCTACTCCGATCGCGGTTTTTATTATTCAAAATACATCAAAGCTATTGCTTCTTCCCTTTTTTTTTTGTCAGCATCAGCAAAGTGCATTAATTTGCAGCATACATACATAAATTTCATTTGAATTGCATTGACCCCGGTTTGGTTTGGTTAAGCTTTCGACTTTAACTGTGCTGCATCAGCAGTGTATCTTTGGAAGGAATATATAAAAGAGGCGCAATCAGCTTTAAATAGCGGAAAGTAGCACCGTTTTACCATGAGTCACAGCATAATTGGATTGTTCTTGGTATTGATTGCCGCAACCAATGCACTTAAGGTAACTAAGATCATGTGATAAAGCATTTATGGATGTATGTTCATACATATACATATATGTATGCAATTTTGAATGTAGGTATGTATGTGCATTTGTAGTGTACTGTAGTTTTAATTCACTATGTATGCCATTATTTTGATTTGTATGTGTACCGTGAAAAATATTAACGTTCACATGCTAATTCTATATATGTATGTACATACAGGGTGCCAGCCAAAGTGGTTGTGTCAATTTTAAAATAATGAATTCTTCTTGTTCAAAAGTGCGAAAAAGCGTTGAAGCGTAGTTGGTATAATTAAACTAATGGCTTAAGCAGGTCATGTACACACATACATGCAAATGTATGTACATACATAAGTATGTAAATAAGTCTGCATTGCTGTCAACTATAGATTTCGTGTCTACCAAATGGATTCATGAACAATGATCGTGATCGTACAATTGATTATACAATGTATTTATTCAAACTTACATATACATATATGTAAATATATGTATGTAACCATTTCTTAAAGCCAATTTGTATTTATTAATTTTATATTATTTAGACATGCATACATACATACATACATACATATGTGCAATATACATTAAGCCGTGCCACGACATAAGAAAGAAATAAGTTTAGCGGGTGTCAGTTTTATTTAAACCGTTATGCCGAGAAAAAGTTTTCGGTGTAAAAAAATCGCGTTTTTTGCTATAGCTTTCTTATTTAATATCCGACTGTTAAAAATGTCTCGCTCAGGATTATAAATGGCCATAAATAATTTTAGGCCTTCAAAACTGTTTTATTTTATACCTTGACTAATTTTGGAATTACTATCCTTAGATTTTTATTTTTATACTATAAATTTAAAGCTCTCAAAAAACGATGACGACCTGATAAGGCCTTTTCGGTGAGAGAAAACCTTTAAAAATCGGAATGCAAATAAGGAAGTTGTAGCAAAAACGCAATTTAGCGGGAGCATAAATAAAATACACCCAACATTTTTTCCCGATATACATACATATTCACTCGTTTGATTTGCACATACTAAACTTTTTTTCGTGATACGCTTTAATGTATGTACTTACACATGTATGTACATATTTTAATACTTGAAATAAAAACAACCAGTTTTATGAACAGAAAAGTAATTGATTACAAACAGTGAATTCGTGAGCAAATTGCCATCAATTTTATTGGTATTTGCGTACATATTATGATAACTTTCTTGTATGTATTTAAATAAATATTCATGTTTCTATATGAACAAATATATTACACAATTTTGTAAATTACTAGTTTGAATATTGTACGTTCATATACATACATACATATATACATAGATACATATATTTCTAGATATGCACAACAATACAGTTTATTTAATATTCACTCGTTTGATTTGCTCAATCGCCGTTTCTAATCGCTTTTATTGCATACAAAAGTAGCAAAATTTGTTTAAAAACAAAAAAAAAATAACCAGTTATAAAAGCCACTTAAAAAGTAGTAACACAAACAAAAATTAAAATTCAAGATTTTGTTTTGATGCAATAGTCATGTTAGCTTTCTGCTTTGGTCGTCGTTTAGCCGCCAATACACGTTTTGATAAACATTTTCGCAATCTTGCGAGGTACAGTGTAGCGCACAAAGTAAATGGTACAGAAAATGTAGTAAAAAACTATTTTTTTTTTAATTCAATTTAGAGTTGTTTCCCAAATACATTTTTTGAGAACAAATTTGTGTTTAAAGGGCAAATTAATTTTAAAAGCTAAGTACTTGTGAAACGACCTTAAGGTTTAGTCTAGCGTTGAACGAGGACAAGACAAAGCAATTGAAAAGCCACCTCTCTCGATGAACATAAGTCACGCTGTACAAATGTTTTATATAGAATTTCTGGGATTGTATGTAGCACAGAAACGGGAGGATTTTGGATGAAGATAAGAAGACTTAAAGGGCTATAGCTCTGTTCGCGAAAAGAAGATGGGATGATGAGCTTAGTCAATGTTTTAATGACAATGACATACGTAGTACATTTTTATATGTTTGTAAAAAACAATGCACTCGGAATGAATAACCTTCGCAAATTCGTAAAGGAGAGATACAATTGGCGAAGTTTTTTTAGTCGCAACCCAAACTCACAGTATGTTAGTGTTTGGCCGTGCTTCTCCTCCGATTTTTTGCGTGCGCTTCGATAAGGTCACACAGAGGATAGGGACCTACAGTTATACGCCGACTCCGAACCGCGATTTTATTTTTGTGCAAAGCTGTTTTTCATGACAGAAATATACTCGGAGGTTTGCCATAGCCTGCCGAGGGGCGACCGCTATTAAAAAAAAAATAAATTTTCTTTTCTTTTGTTATTGATGTTGGTCGGGAATTCAACTTGAACCCAGGCCCTGTGAAATGGGCAGTACACTTTCGTCCATTATGGAACCGTCGGTGTGAATTTGTTTCGCATCATCTACCATATATTTACATATTCCAAACCAAAACCGGAAGAGTCCAATATTTAGCTCAGAATAATATTCGCTGGTGATAGTTTTAAGCTCTTCAAGGCAATTAATGTAAATGTCACAGCGCACAACCCGAAAACCAGTCGCCCTAACCTTGTTTTGCGGACAGACCCAACTTTGCCTTCTTTTTGGTGCACGTTCAACAGAAGGAGATAAAATAACCGCACATCATTCCATGGATTTTATCGACGATTGAAAATTTGACGTGACCTTTGCCAGTACGCTCACAACGGAGCTCAATAAACCGTTTCTTAGTTAATGAAATTGAAAGCGTTGGATATTTTTTCTACGTAAAAAATAATGCTTGATCAGCATACGAAATTTACTTTTTCCATGACTGTTTTCAATGGCCGTCAAATTTGAATAGTTATCTCATAAGTTGATAGGAGCAGTGTTGCATGTCCAGTTTTCAAACGAAAGATTCGAAAACTCACTGACTCAAATGGGTAATAGAATTCGTGGCATAATTTTGTAAGTTTCTTAATTACGAAACCCACAGAATTTTATGCTGTACATTGAAATGCAATAGTTTACGAGCATAGTAGTAGTAGATTTTGTTTCCAACTAACAAGCATACATGACCATTGTACGCCACTCGTATTCTGTGCGAGTATACCGGTTCTGTATATACCGATGCCAAGCTGCGTTTGCTTGAAGTGGCTTGTATGCACTTCTTCCTCCCGATCATGCCTTTGACGCTGCAGCTATGCACATATCGCACACTAAATCAAAAACCGGCACAACTCAAAAAATCCTAAATGTTCAGGGGAGGCAAAAAACTGTTGACGCTGCGCAATCGACGCAAGCAAAACTAAAAAGTTTTAGTAGTATTTTTCCAGTTAAAGAAGATAGTGATGAAGAAGAAATTTTCGCGGACGTTGGGTATACGGTCTGTGAACTGTTTTATGGAAAAAAAATAAATTTTGACAAATTTTGAGTTGTGCAGGTTTTTTATTTAGGGTGCGATATGTATGTATGTACTGTTTATTATTATTTTTCATGTATGCTTCATGTGCAACAACTTGTTGTGGTCCAAGCATAAATATTTAAAAAAAACTGTAGTAAATAAAATTCACGCAACATAAAAAATAATAAGCGCTCTTCTATGCATTTGTTGACTGTATACATACTGGTGCAAAACAGATGTAAGCAATGCCGTTTAAGCTACAGTTGGAGGTACATATGTAGTTCGTGGCACTCGACTAACTGAGGTAAGCGCTACTTCAAAATTTACCAGTTCTGAGCCAGCCTCGAACAGTTGGATTTATTGTAGGATAGTCACTTACATACAGTGACTCAAATAAGCAGCCACGTGTTGATTTTTTTTCAAACTTTGTGTCCCGCATTTTATTTCCTAATAGCTGATTTCCACCAAGTCTTAACTGCTTATTGCAAAAAGGAGATTACAACTCGAAGGGTCTAATCCCATCTATTAAGTAGAAGCAAACGAAAGGAAAAAACAAAAATTAAGAAGCAAACCTTGCCGATCACCCCATGTTAAAATTAATTGAACCTAACTGAACTCTTAACTGCAGTTAAGCCTTTGGTGGAAATAGGCTATAAGAAATGAATGCTTACATATATGGAAAAAATGCATAAACCGCCAGTAAAAAAATTATTAAAAGCAACGCCATGCAAAATGTTCAAAAGATTATTATTAAAAAATTTGAAATTTCGGTGAAAATCTGTTAAATTTTCCTAAATTTTCTATAAAGTTTGAAACTTCGATCTACATAAGTTTGGTTGGACAATATTTTTATAGAAAATTAACAAAAAAATAGCTTGAAAAACATTTTGAATATTTATATAAAAGGACACATGGTCACTTGTTTGAGCCACTGTATGTATGTATGAATGTACTTATATATTTATGTTTATAGTTATGCAAACATGTTTGTATGTACAGTATATTCCTTTTAGCTGCATTTACTTCCAATACAAATGATTTCATGCACTTAAGGGAGACGTGCAGCAAAGCGGAAAAACAAAAACTGTTTTTTCTTTGGTTGTCTTGTTTTAAATTTTAAAATTTGTTGCAATACTGTTTTTTATGAAATCTTTTTTAAAAGTACTTAATGTAACACTAGTCACTATAGAGGCATTATTACTTTTTCTGGGTCTTCATTGCCACTACTGATTTCAGATATGGCACAGGTTCGCAAACAGAGGGTTATGTTGTTAGCAAAATGATCCTTTGAAAAACTGTTAGTGCTGGTAAGCGAAATATTTTTCCTACAAATCAAAAAAAAAACTTACTCAAAAACAGGGATGCTAAACAGAAAAGGATTGCAAAGCGGAAATGCTGCTAAAAGTGAAAATTTCGTACAAAATCCATTTCAAGAAGCAGTATTTTGGTAAGCAGAATATTCACCTAAGCGAATAGGCAGCTATACGGAATATACTGTATATATGTATGTCGTTACTTATGTACGCAAATTCAGGTCACACCATACCTACATACATACACACATTTTACTTACCAGCATTTTTTTCACTCTTTATTCTTTTAATATTTCTAAAAAAGAACCGGTTTTGGTAATATCCAATAACACTTAAGTCTTTACCTCTTTGCTCCGCTTAAATATAGTTTGAATACAAATTATCTAAATTGTAATTTTACCTGCAAAACAACTGACATCATAATCATATTTAGCAAATCGAGATATGTACATTAGACCGTATCACCAAAAAAAGCTCAATGTGAACACTCACTATCAGAGTATTTCAGGAGTATAAAATTGTATAATTATTATTACTTGTATACTGTTGTAATAAAGGTATTAAAAGGCCTACATCTACTGTACGGTCTAGTGTACATACTTATGTAGTTATGTAGGTTAGGTTAGGTTAGGTTACGGTGATTGCCACTCTGCACATACCTGCGGAGAGACACACTTAGGCCAGATCGACCTATTGTAATGCCACTATAAACGAGCTCTTATTCCTTTCCCTTAGTTTACCAAATGATAGAACCATCGTGCAACCTCAATGTATCGTTGAAGGTCGCGGATGTCCATAGAGTCGAGATCAGCTAAACACCGAAAAGCTATTTCATTAAAAATAGCAAGTCTTGGCCTTTCCAGAGCGGAAAGATAATGTTCTACACTCTCCACCTCCTCCTCGTGTCTACAAGCACGGCAGAAATTGTTAGCAGGGTAACTCGTTTGTTGGTCAATTCAATGAATGCATTTCAGTCGATGCTTACTCGAAGACAGGGAACGCCTGCGTCGAGCGCAGAGTTTACTGAGCGTGGTTCATGTGCCCCCCTGCCCCCCGCAAGCTCGTATGCCGCGCAGTTTCCCGGTATTCCACTATGCCCGGGTACCCAAACCACTTTAATGGTGAGCTCGTTACTTCTGCATTCGGCAACTACTTTTGAGGAAGTGTTACTGCACTGTAAAGTATACCCCGGGAAGTGGGTGCCCATGAGAACATCTAGCATTTCGCTGGAAGAGGAGGTTCATTCACCATCATGCTTTTGGATATAGCTTGGGGCAACTAGAGTTCTAGACTTTCCGTATTTGCTAGATTAAATAGCTTCCTGCAGGTTCGTCTCAAGGAGGAGACTCCGGGATCCCCCATTAGAGTCTCCTTTTTCCTCTTGGAAAAAGCGGGCTGGAAGCTTTAATTTTTCACGAACACTCCAGCTTACCGAGAGAAACAGACTTTGCCTCTGGAGAGCTCTGTGCGCTTCCTCGAACAGTGGTGCGAATCAAGAAATCACGCTTTATAAGGGTCTAAAGCCTACAATTATGTAAGCTGAACAGATTTAGAAAAAATTTTTGGGCCCCGATTTTTTGATTTTGTATTTGCTTATATTAAATTTTTAAGTGCAAAGTGCGGAGAAAGTAGCAATTTGGAAGAAAATCGATTCTCTTGTTCCTGGTAATAAAACGAAAAAATTAAATAAAAGAACTTGCAATATAAAAAATTTCATAATAAAAATGAAAATTAGCGCGATCTCTAAGTGGTCTCAGAGGTATGGCATGTTAAATAAAAAAGAAAAACATCAAATAGAAAATATTTATAAATTACACTTTAGCAATTTTCTTTCTGGGTATTTTTTTTTGCCTCCAGGAACATCGATCCATCCTTTGCAAGGCTAAATTTTCAGCATATGTGCCTTTGAGTTAAGCGAATGTTCCAAATAACTAAAAAAAAAACACCATCTGATCTAATGATACTACATGTTCAATATGCCTTGCTTTGGTTATAAAACTGCATACATAAAGTTGTTCTAAGAATTAAAAAGAAGTGCTCCCTGGTTGGGAACAATCAGGCCTCGCTATACAAATTTCGTTATGGCGGACTTCTGATGGGAACAAATTAATATCTTCTCCAAGATATGCTGAGAGGAAAGCGAAGAGGGTTGGTTTGACGGTCTTAATCTTAAAGATATATGTATGTATTGGAAATTGATGGCTAAGTCATCGAATAATAAATTTGCATGCAACTCAATTAGAAGAATCTTATCTTTAAACCACTTTGTTATTCAATGCAATTTTAGTTCCATTTACCTATGTATGCGTTGCAAAGTAGAGTTTAATAATTTCATTAAAACTAATGCAAACTAAATTGAATTTGTTTGCGCATCAAAGCATATTAAATATGTTAAAATAAAAATGTAGTAGATACGTATATAGTTATTTTCCTTTCTATCGCGGCGTATCTTTTAACAATCAGCGACTTCCTGTTTCGGTGGATTACGAACATTTTACGCTATGCTGGTTTGCATACCTTTCATTTAAATGAATGGTATGTTTACTGGTATTCAAAACAAATGTCAATGGGAAATAATGAAATGTATATTCAAAAGCAAACAAATTCTTTCCATCGCCATCCTATGCTGCCACCAACGCGTATGCGTTAAGGTTTTTAGGGCAGAAGCGTTTCTCTTAATTCGTACGATAGACACAACAAATCGAGCGGGGCCGAAAAAATCTAGAGCTCATTTAAGGGATAGTGTAAGGAATAGATGACATAAGCATTATCGTGGGCCGAAAATCCGTTTTTTTTTTTAGAGTTTTATTTGGTAATAGCAAAAATTTGGTTAATTATGCTCTAAAATAAAATCTGTGTCTAAGATTAAAACTTTGGCCAATATCTTCGGCTCGCCCAAGTCCATCAAAGTTCAGGTGGTAAAAAAAGTTTTTCTTAGCTTACTTCGATTCTCTGTAAAAAAAAGGTCCATATACCAACTAATACTTTCGAAGATAATTGCAATTTGAGTAAAAAAGAAATTATTAATTTATTTTTATTTTTTTTATTTCATCTCTCAAAAAGATTGTTTTTAGAGCATAATGAAACATATTTTTGCTATAACCAATCAAAATTCTAAAAAGGCGGATTTTCGGTCCACGCTAATAAGCATCTAACATTTTGTAAATTAATTTCATTATTTCAACGTAGTCTTCTTCTTGCGCAAAAATCTCTATTCAAAGCTCCTTCTTTTTTTCCATGGCCTCTAAATGGTGAAATTTTAAGAAGCTTTTAAAATTGGTTAATTTTTCATCGATCATTTTTCAATTTTTAAATAATACATTTTTGTAAACATACTACGTTAGGAGCCTAGTGGCTTAATGGAACAACAACCGACAACTCAAATCTGTCTTTGCTTTTGACCAAAGATATGTGTATATTATATATTATATTATAAATTCGATAAAAAGTTTACTTTTAAATTATGAGTGATGTTCTTTAAAATCCAATACGACGGAAAAATTTTGACCGCAAAAATTTCTAAAATTCGAAATAGCGTTTCCAATATGACGGGAAAGACAAATTATTGAATTCGCTATATTGAATTCGCCATTTGGAATTTTAAAAAATCATGATTATGATCGTAATTAGCGACCTTAAAAACGCCCAGTATTTAAAAGTAAAAATTTTTACCGAATTTACAAGATTACCACAGCTTTTTCTACCTGAACCAATTTTGAAAAGAGGGTTCTTCAGCTGACGAAGAATGCTTCATGCATGTCGATGTATTTGAGTTCTTTATAACCCTTTAAGATCGTATTTAAAAAATGTGGTGAAGAAAGTAGTAATTATATATCACGCCGAAATCCCCTCGAAGGGAATTTTCAATCAAGGGAGGGTTTAAAAATTTTATGTTTCGTATGGCGACCGGCCCAATTCAATACATAATAGTGTACATATTTTGATGTGCAATTTACATGTACTTACGTATGTTTTCATTATTTACTTTTTAATTTACACTTATTCCTTACAGGTGCCTATAACCATCTATTATGAATCACTCTGCCCGGACAGCGCTAAGTTCATTACCGAGCAAGTCTATCCAGCCGTTAAGGGTGAACTGAAAGACTACATAGACATCAAATGGGTGCCTTTTGGCAAGTCACACGTATGTATCACACTATTTTCACTTTCATGAATCGTACATACATGCACACATAAATTTGTATGTATGTACATTAGGGCGGCCCAAATAAAGTAAAGCAGCCGAAAAATAATACATCGCTCAAAGTTTTCCATGTATTTTATATGGTATGGAATTCTTGAAAAAATATTTTTCGATGGGAAAACTCTGGTTCTCTCCAGGAGACTTCCAATAATAATACCAAATTGTTTATTTAACCATTTTTTAATAATAACGATTTTTTTTTTGGTGCGCCCATTGCATTTTTTGTTGTTTTTGGCGGACGTATAAATTATAGTTACTATGAAAAAATAGTTAAAAAAACAATTTTTCTATATGAAATATGTACATGGAAAATTAAAAAACAGGGAAATATTTTTTCGGTATATAACAATCCTAGGGGGAAGAGCATAAAAATTCCGAATTTACTTTTTCTCATGCAGTTTTGGACCACCCTAATGTTCATACATATATTAATTTACATATGCGACTGATGTGTGTTTTTTTATTTGTATGCTTATGCAGTTTACAACGCAAGGTGCTGATGTGCTCTTCGATTGTCATCACGGTCCAAATGAATGCTACGGCAACAAAGTGCATGCCTGTGCCATCGAACATATACAGGCCAACTCCTATCAAATTGAATTCACTAGAGAATCACTAACGTTGGACTTCATCAACTGTATGATGAAGGCGGGCAAGAACTTTGATGACAACGTTTATCCAGGTGGACGCTGGTAAGTGACCAACAGTATTTCACAGCGATGTGTTGTGATTACGGGTTTATGCCAAATTTGTACCATCGTTCATATATTCAAACATATTTAATGCACATTAGACCGTACCACCTTACAATCAAACAAAAAATTCGCCTTACAGCTCTGAGTCTAAAGTATTTTTGCAAGGCAATTTGGGGGAAAAATCTACATATTTCGGTGGCACCTACATGTGGCAATAAAAAAATAGTTCTACTTATTTTTGATGAGCTTTAATTTACTGTCATTAGGATGGTACATAGGGTGATAAGAACTGCGATTTGGTGGCGAAATACTGCAATCTAAATCACCTTGGAATAAAAACATTTCCTTGGCAAAAGTTTGTGATTTTTAGACCCGACTGTAACGCCGAAGATGCGAAAAAAACTGTTAAAAGGTCACCCCAACGTTAGGCCAAAAAAAGTTTTCGAAACAGCCTTACTACAAAAACTACAGATTCGAAGGTCTACGACGAACTGTTTTTTCTGGTATGGTCTAATGTACATACATACATTCGTGCATGTTTTATGTTAATATGTTGTTACGCGGACACTATGTATATGTATTTTTCTCCATTTACACCTTTGTTTAACGTCTGTTTTTCTCATTTTCTCATTTTCTCACATTCAAGTGCACGTGACAATCATATTAGCGGCTGGGAAAATATTCAGACATGTGCCAACTCAACTGAAGGCAGCCATTTGCTGAAGAAACAAGGCGAGGCCACAAATCAATTCCAAAATCCATTGACCAGCGTGCCAACAATTGTTTTCAAACAGGCAAGTGTTATTCAAATGGCCAACGAAGTAGACTTGGTAACTAATATGTTCCACTTGATTTCCACAGCAATTTGATGCCAAGGAGAACGATCGCGCCATGTCCAATTTCCTGAGCGTTGCCTGCAAGTACATTCAACAACCGCAGCCCAAAGTGTGTATGGCGCTCAACTCCGCCGTTGGCACAACTGTCACGCCCATTTTGGGTTTGTTGGCCTACATGTTGGTGCGACTGTTCTAAGCTGGAAAAGCTTATCGTAGCTGATAATGCCGCTGGAAGCGTGCATCTCTAACTTCAGTGCACATTTAAAAATTCAACGGAAGTGGCGTTGAAATGAAATTTAAGAATCGATGTTTATATACTTTTTATTTTTATTTTTTTTGTTTATTAAAGTGATAATCTTCCGTCCATAAATTGTGGGTACGACTTTTGTATTTTAAAGCATTTCTTACACACATACATACAAGCATACCCTCGAGAGTACGGGGGAGCGACTAAAGGACTGATGAATCGGTAGCTACCAAGTAAACATCGTCAATTACAAGGCAATGTTCTAGGCGGTAGTCACCATCGAACTCTCTCTGCACTACCGGGAGTTACTAAAGTAGTCTTTTGCGTGATTAACGGGTGCACTACCACGGGTTAATAGAGTAGCTACTTACCTAGAAGTCGGTGCAGTACAAGCATACCCTCGAGTACGGGGGAGCGACTAAAGGACTGATGAATCGGCTACCAAGTAAACACCGTCAATTACAAGGCAATGTTCTAGGCGGTAGTCACCATCGAACTCTCTCTGCACTACCGGGAGTTACTAAAGTAGTCACTTGCGTGATTTATGGGCGCCCTCTTTTCTTCTCTATTCTTCTTCCGACTGGTTCGACTCTGCACTAACGGGTGCACTACCACGGGTTAATAGAGTGGCTACTTACCTAGAAGTCGGTGCAGTATTGTTTCAATAGTAGCGATTGACTCCAGCAGTTATTAAGGTTTTTGATTCCCTTTAAATCATTTAGGGAGTTCACAAGGCGTTGTATACTGTCACATTGTTGTATGGCGTAACCTTTGAAAGCTTAAATTTATGTCTAGAGGACTCGAAACTACAACCTACTATCTTTTAATACTGTGAAAATTGTGAAAAATCATAATATTATTTTTATGGTATTCTTCACATATTTTGAACCATTTAAAGTTTACGACATACAACTATACGACAGCTTACAGCACCTTATGAACTCCCTAAATAATATTATGTTGAGCGCATAAATCCTACACCAATCCCTTTATTTACTGTAATATTTAAATGTGTCTTTGATATCAGCACTTCTAATTTATATATTTGTGCATACTTCAAATATTCTACAGTGAAACCCGCTTAAGTACACCCCGCTTAAATACCTAATCCGCTTAAGTAACCAAAATTTTTGGGCAATGTTAATTTTTGAATGTTGTTCGCTTAAGTACATCGAGGTATTTAAGCGGGTTCTTTCAAGTACCCAACCCGCCTAAATACCTCAAAAAGCTGACATTTTTTGTGAGATACTTAAGCGAGTTTTACTGTACTACTATTTTGAACTTAAATTTTTTCGCTCCGAATCCACTAATCCCTCATTGAACCCGCATTTTGAATTAAAAAAATCTGACATCGCCAATATGGTGACCAAATTTTAAAATTTTCAATTATAATATCTTATTTTTTGGCCAATTTTAATGGTATATTCTTTTATGGGCTTCTTTGACCTAATTGGTGATTAGTGCAAGTAAAACAAATGTTTTTTCTTCACTGCTTTGCCCTACGTTTCGCTGAACTCCTTTCGAAGAGTAGGGCAAATCAGTGAAGAAAATAAGCTATTATATTGAAAATTATATAATTTGGCCACCATATTGGATCCGCCTTTTTAAATTCTAAATATCTGTATCAGATGCGAAATCAGCGACCTCGTTCCATCTGTCTGCGATACTCGCCGTCGGCAAAGCGTAAAGACCCATAAATTTTCCGCAAAATCATTCTCTCGTAAAAGGTCATAAGGTAATCCAAGCGGTTAATAACTCCATCTCGTGGAGTCTCTGAACGAGTATTTAACATTAGTCGAGAGCGCCTGAAAATTATTAATGGATGCCTTCAGGACACTGCAAGCTAAGGCACTAACATTGTAAAACTTCAAATCATGCTCTACATAGCTAGATCTCGACTATATGGCACAGTGATCCTCAAGAATGCATAGGTTTGATTAAAATGGATCCAAACAATTTTTTCATCAGTATTTAAATAAATACAAACTCCATTTCTTGAAATCCTACCTGATCGTTTTTTCGAAAAAACTCAAAATTACGGTTTTGTTCGTACTTGATGTACTTATCTATTAACAGATTGACTATTTTTCATCCGATTGTTAGACTTAGCTTGTTGGAAGTTTTCATCGGTAAAATTTTAATTAGCCCCTGTTTTTCGTGATTTTTACAACTTTCCCCGTCGCTGATTTCAAAAATTTCTATTGAAAGTGACCAAATATGTAGCATTTACTCAAAAGAACATTTACTTTCGAATAAATTGGGACCTCTCCTAATGCAATTGCATAGAAGTTGTCAAGAAGTTATGCAATTTCAGCTTTTCGTCTAAAAATGATTGTAAATATCCATTTTGAGTGAATAAGCTGCAGTGGTTACTGAAATGTCGCAGTTTTCGTATTCCTAAAAACTACCGTTATATGGGGGGTGGGCGTGGTTATTGTCTGATTTTTTTTTTTCATTTTTAATACCATCCGCCCTCCGCTGAAAAGAAGTACACATACCAAGTTTCGTTAAGATATCTCAATTTTTACTCGAGTTATCGTGTGTACAGACGGACTGACGGACGGGGAGACAGTCTAAGGGATCGACTCCATTTTTCATTCTGATCACTTATGTATACATTTGTCTATATCTATCTCGATTCGTTTTGGAATCCCAAATCCTCGTGTTCATACCACAATTGAATAGGGGAGTCCAGTTCATTACCGCGACAAGAGTGTTATTGAAAAAATACAGCTGCTTATCGTTCAATTTTTCACGTATGATAAAGTAAATCTGCGCTAAAAATAAACAAGGGGTCCACCTGACTCCATTGGCACAACAAGGCAACAAGGCAGTTAAGTACCTACCTGGATTAGAAAATCGCGTCATAATTGCGATCAATTTTGTTATGATTGTGGCACCTTGCTGCCATTATTGGTATGATTATTAGTATTATTACTTACGGATATGATTAAAACAAAAAACAAAAACAAAAAACTTAACGATGGATGATTCGAAAAAAGTTCTTTCCTACCGATAAATTACCTATTTGTGGTAAACAAGCTGATAACAACGAGCGAGTATGCAGAGACGGTAGTAACAGTAGCTCGGCAGCTGATCATAACAAATACATTGCGGTTACAAAGTAAAAAGTGCAAATGGCAGCAAACTGCAAAAGATGATATAGGGCAGCAACAGCAGGAAAGTGTACAGAAGCGGGTGGCAAGGCGGGTGGCAAGACGGGTGTAAGAGACAATTCGCTTGGCTATCAAATTGCTTGTAAAGCGAAGCTGTTCAAGGTAATTGGATGAGGAGGTGAGTACGTAGATTTGTTGAAATATGGATTCGCGCAAAGTAAAGCACGTCTTTGTGCTTTGCATTACCGATTATATATCCATAAAAGTAATTATTTAGGAAATCTGCTGACCTTTGCAGTTTAAGTTCTATTTATGCGGCTTATGTACCTACACACATGCACACTCTTAACTTTTACTGACCACGTATGCGTCATCAGTGATGGCATGATTAGATTATGAGCTTAAACAATTAATTGCTATATTTCTCTAATATATCTCATAAGAAAAGGCGTATTCAAATAAGCTACCAAACGTGCATTCAAATGGCCCGCTTTTAGGAAAATGAGCGGCTATCAAAATAGAAAGTTGCTTGCAGGACATCAAATTTACCCAAGGGAAACTAAAATACAAACAGCAATTCCGTGGAAAAAGTCAAAAAGTGAGCAACCATACGCGAAGAGATGAAAGAGCAGCGGATTCGTTGAGCCTACGCTTTTAGCCAAGCACCTCCCCCAACGCCGCCGCACTTGCCACTCTACCTGAATGTCTTATTGCCTTGTTGCCTTATTGCCAAGCACTAAGTAGGTGTCGAAGTGCTAGGCGGTGGGCGGTGGGCGGTGGGCGGGCGCACTCCACCAACCACACTCGGCAACACTCGGCCATGATTGTGGCTTGTGATTGGTTGAATGACAGAATCCTGTTGCTCGGTCGGACCCTATCGTTCTTAGCCGAGTATAAAATGCCGACGCGCAACGCATAGGTCCCATTCAAATTTTGGCGCTTGCATGCTTTAGCTGCAAATTGTGACCGGTACAATTCAAACTCGTGCTACACATACACATTGGAAAACGCAGCAAACAAGTGTTATTGGTCTATATAAATTCGTATAAAAGTAAACTTTATACAGTTATTGCATATTTATTTACGCGCTCATATTACTGAATACTAAGAAGAGGTAGCTTACAATCGATGTAAAGAAGAAAAAAATAGAGTTTGGAAAAATAAAGAAATTTCATAAAAATTTAATCGTGATAAAAGTCTGAAAAGCTTTTATATAAAAATAGTGTATAGTGTTCGCGACCATAAAGTGTTCGCAGCAGTAAGGTTTCTTAAAAACTCAAGGCCCAAGCAAATTCGAGAAAGAACGGTAAGTAGTGTCTGCGTTTTATTTGTTTACCTAAGTATTAATTAAATATTTCTATTAAATAGATCCATTATATTTTCGGTTTTTTGTAGACTGAACCTTTAGCTCATATCACTCCGTTGCTCGGAAAAGTCACACTGCGGCACTTACTAGCGGTCTTCTCGAAGTCTTGCAAAACCCTTGCGCGGTGTACGGTTTGCAACGCTGTCACATGGGAAAACCGGTTTTAACCATGAAATCTGTGCACCGGGCAAGGGCTTTGCAAGACTTCGAGAATACTCCTACTAAAAATGTAACATAGTGACCAAACGCAGTAAATCTTTTAGATGTTAATTTTTTTAATTGCAAAGTTGCATCTGGATTTTCCACTTCTACATCAAACATTTTTTGAGTATGTAATTTTATAGCTAATAAAATTCTAGTAAAATAAAGTGCAAGTTTGAAGTTGCTAAAAAATCGCCTGGATTTGCGACACTTTTTTACGCATTTCCTTCGAAACGAAGTATATTCCACAATTTTTCTCTTTTATGGAAAAGGCGTAATACAATCCTAAGAAAAATATCCAAAATCGTCCCACCAGACAATTTTTGTTGCCGGCAATAAGAAAACATGTCGCCCTCGGAAACAAATTTATTGCCGGTAATATCGCCATCGTATCGATTTCTTAATATCAGTCGCGCTAAAGATTTCTTGCTTTACTTCTT